AATTTTATACCTAGTCGAACTGAGTACCACACTGTTAAAAAAAGTGCATAATAACCAACCGTTGCCCCTAAAAAAAGATTTCACTAACCTTTGAAAGGTCTATGCTGATGTCATATGCTCTTCAAGAGTTTATGAATCAAAACGTTTTTGAGAGTAAAGATATATAAAATTAAAAGGGTATGTGATGCGTATTTAAGGATTTGTTACCCATCACTTTCTTCAAAAGAATTCATCCTTCTACCGACAAGAATACATTATCCAATGTTTTCCTTAAAACCATATATTATTGCACGCACAAGGGTAGTTTACACTACAATATCAACACAAGACTTATTATTCTATACATAAAAATAGATCATTCAACGATTTCAACAAAAAGGTAGATCATTCTATAGTTTTAGGGTGTGTGTGAGGGTGCGGGTGCGGGTGTGGGTGTAGGTGTGGTTGTGGATGGGTTGGTGTGGGTGTGGGTGTCGTATGACTGAGTCTTATCTCTATCATTCACGCACACCGACATCCACACCCTCAAGATTTTTGTGGATTTATTTGAAAAGTTTTGGTTTTTCAGATGTTCTCATCTTGCCATGGAGGACGTGCTGTAACTTTTGCCGATTAGGCTGAAAATGTTTTTGTGGATACTTGTGGCAATACCTCAAAAGTAGTTTTAAAGATTTTGAAAAACCCCCACTTACTTTTTATTTATAAGAAAATACATAAAGGTTTTTGTCAGAACCTGATTTCTGACCTTGAAAACTCCTTAAACCAGGACGGAAATATCAGAAATGCAAATGGCCGATTCTCCCTCTGAAGGATACGTCAAAGCATCTCTGGTAAAATTTTCAGCTCGATTGGACGAAATTTGAGGTTGGTCGTCCATGGCACAATTCGTTGCTTTGCTTCAAAAACTAGTTTTGAGGAAAACATAAAACAAGTTTCAGAAGTTTTATTTCGTTAAAAATACGTTGAAAGTTTCTTGCTTACCTATTTTTTGAGCAATAATTTTTGCTGAATTACATGGTGGTATTGAGAAACATTGAACACTAAGGTAATCGACCATGGAGAAGCTGGATCTGAGGTCAGTTTTAATTAATTAGTTAATTAGGTAGTTATTAATTAATGATTTCTATGATTTCCTCAAAAACTTCACTAAACGAAATTCAACATAGAGAATCCGAATTTGAAGTTTGTTTTAATTAATTAGTTAGTTATCAATTAATAATTCGTGTAGTTTTCTGAAAAACTTAACCAAAGGTAGTTGAACATGAAGATTCTGAATCTGAGGTTGGAGTGGGTATTGATGAAGAATAAATTGAACACAGTCACACACACACCCGCCAATTTGAGCAGGATATTTTTTATCGAGTAAAATTGAAAGTTGATTTTTTACTGATTTTATGAGCAATCTTTTACGACAAATCTGATGATTATATTGAGAGATGTGTAGCATGTACACTGGCAGCATCTACTGACATAAGTATCGAGTGGATTATAGTATGTTTTTATGGACTCCGTCATTCTCACTTCGTGTAATCATTATTATTATTTTTATCTAAAATACAAGTAGCGCGTCGGTCCCTTGGACCTCGCTCGACTCAATCCTGAAAGGAACAATAGATGTACTGCAAACACGACAACCTTAGATCACTAAGCATATCATATAGTGATATTAAGCAACTGAAGATCGTTATTATAGGGACACTACTGAGGTCTTATTTATATGCTTTGTTTTCCGTAAATAAAAAAGACGCTCGTAACTCAAGAACATTCACCTAGTGTATCACACAAAGCTCCTTCCACAAACAAGTAACGTTTGTCGCTTCGACTCACTTGACCGTCGACTGTATAAGATCAGATCAGATAGGTGCCTTATCTGTTGCAGACGTTGGCTAACATGATGCGCCAATTGTTACGGTCTTGTGCTGCGTGAAGGAAGTCTGTTTTTTCGTATCCTTGTTTTGTAATCCATAGGTTCATGTTTTCGAGGTACTTGATTCTTTGTCGACCTCTGTCTTTCTTTCCATTGAGACTGTATAAGATAAACCTATATTCTGTTAATACTAGACTGAGAGCATCGATCTACCAATTTATATCTGATTTAGACGCAAATGTTTTCTCTTGAATTATAAAAGTACACAAAAAGTTTTTGTATTTTGTAGAATGATTTTAAGGTAAATCCCATTTTCAAACTAATATCTGTAAGCAAACTCATATTACCTACGGATAATGCTCGTTGACGACGTTCGCTTAATGACGATTGACCTTCACCTAATAACTATCGGTTGGCGCTTATAAAATTTCAAGCTTAACTTTTTCACCATATCTTTTAAGGAGAGATATAACATGTTCTCTCGTGACCGCACTATATTTTTTGTCAAGGAATTTCCGTTCACCTCGTAGTCGGTCGTCGGCGTCCCTTCGGTCCGCCACTCCCGACTACTCGGTGATGTAGATTAAATTTGATGACTGATATGCCACTTACTGTCTTCTCATATCAAGTTGGTTCTCTTCATCAAGTGTTCTGAGAGACAGCAGTCGTTAGAGAGAGTATCAGGTGGGCTTATATGTGGATTTGGTTGTAGAGTTTGAGGTGTGGGTGTGAGTATTTTACCGTTCTATATTATCATCCACATTTCCACACACACCCACACTCACTTTTTCAAAAACTCAGTTTATATAGATTCTTATGTTCACTCAGCTTCTCACCCACACCCTCAAGCTGA